ATGGCCACAATTGGATGACCATGTTCCGAATAGCACTGCAGTGTTTTTCCCTTCACGAAACCATGCGAATGACTTGGTATCGTACGGGTATTAAGATATCTTACTTGATCTGAATTGAAGGCTGCATCTTATTGATATTAATATTACTTGATCTGAAGTGAAGTCTTACTTGACCTGAAATGTCTTACTTGATCTTATTACAAAAATACTGTGTTTTTCTAGCTGCATACCATCAGGCGTCTCAATCCCCCGGCTACCCGTTTCGACCATTTCGGCCCGGGGGCGAGGACCAAAAAGCACCCCGAGGTACTTGACGATGCTTTACAAAGAGAGCGGGTGTGGCTGGGGGAGTGAATTTCAGAAAACAAGTGCTACAAAACCATGTGTTTTGTGGGGTGGTGTGAAATTCACTCCCCCCGACTGCACCCCTTCTGTTTATAAAAGTTTGCTATAAGCCAAGATAGATCCACAAAATGTGAAAGCGTTGAAGCAATGGATGTGAAAGTGCTTGGTGTGTGGGAGTCTTGCCAACACCAGCTCTAGCTCACCCACCATCTCCACTCCTCAGGCTTGCTCCCATTCCCAAGTTCTACCGGCTAAGCTTCACGCGATTCTTTTTGTTGGTTTATAGGGTTATGCCTCAGAAAGCGAGCCACTCACGCGCCACGGAAAGCGAAGGAGATAGGAGATGGTTTGGTGGCTTGATCACTGGTGGTTTGTGAACCTGGCATAGTCTCTGTCACTTGTCAACCTGACGTGTTTTGAAGTCGGAGTCCATGTGCTTCACATCTTAATCGGTATATCATCCGATTCCCAAGCAGTAATAAAGGATGATGCTTAGGTACCAGGCCTTTCTCAAGAACAATAGTGATAGTGATCATCCCTTCCCGACTGTTACTGGTAACTTTTTCATGGGCTACACCCCTACAGTATCTAAAAATCCATGTTCAGTGAAGCTCCGGCTTCTTTGGGCTCTTCGTCCAGGCGAAGATCTCACCGTCTCTTTGAGACGCAAGCGGCGTCTCAAAGAGTGGCACTCTCACTTGGAGTCGCGAGTGACCAGCGAGTGGGGTCATGAAAACAACGGCCAAACACCCTGCAAAAGCTCCGCCGAACCCCCCGGACCGGAGACCAAAGGACCGGACCCAACAGGCGGCTGGACCAAAGCGAAACCTTCCCTCTTCGCCCACGGGGAGCCGTTTCCACTGCACCACGGGGCCGACATCTCGGAGAAGAATGATGGGAAGAAACATGTGAAGGTTGAACGCATCCGCAGAGGTCTCAGGAGAAAAGGCACGTTTCTTTCAGCTCAACTCGTAGCTTCAGTTGTGTTTCCCTCTTCTGAATGGTCTTCCGTCCGATGGCCCGTCCCGGACAACCCGTCCGACTGCCCCACCGGGCGGCGATTTTTAAGCGGACGCAGGCGGTATGGCTTCCCTAACCTTGTCCACTGAGGCTACTTGGGCAGCAAAGATGCGGAGATGGCAAACAGGCAGGACGCGCAGAGAGGCACCATGCGCCGCACGGCACGCGATCGGGGGGGGTGAATGGAAGGATCACTCTCCAGGAGGAGGGAATGAACTGATGAAACTCTTGTTAATATGCCAAATGCCTTCAAATGCCTCTGAATCCTGAAAATCCGTTGACCAAAAATTATCTGAAAAAACGGGCTCGGACACGCTTTTTCTACCTGGCATGGCCTTGCTTCCGGCAAGATTTGGTCTGCCTCTCACAAACAGAAACACCTCAAACGGAATGCAGGCTGCCTTCAATCTCATCCAAAACTCGGATGTCTGTGGGGTGCACACTGGGGAAAATACTGCTCGGCACTCGAAGTTGTGTCCCACTCGCTTAGAAACCTGTACGATGGCACTTGCAGTACAGCAGACAGAATACTTCTGCGGACGGCAACATTGGGACGGCAAGCCTGTAAGGCCTTGTGAATTTTCTGTGCTTATAGAGTAAATTCAGAGAATTGACAATTACGTGAGTTCAAAAGTTCTAGATTCTAAATGTATATTAACATGTGTATTTATATAGCGATTGCTCGGGTAAAATGTCTGTCTCGATACCCTTTCACCATGGTCAAACACGTTCAAAATTCGTTTATAGCATCTACATGCATCTACTCTGTCTCGCTCCTTGAACTGTCGGGTGACAAGCTCCTTGCAGTCGCGCGAGAAAAAGCCAGTACGAGACACTGGCGTCAAGGACGTGCCGAGCAGCCCCAGTGTCAAAGTAGGCCAGTTGGACCCTCCTTTTTTTGCCTCTGCCATTCGAGCGGAGAAAAAAAACAAAAACTGGATGTTCTGCTTCGGAGAGACGCCCAAAATCAGCGCCGAAAGATGATCAGGGCTCTCTCCATCATTCACTTCGGCTTCGAGGCTTCGCAAAAAAAAGGGCAAAAGTAAATCGATTCTGCCCAACAAATGCGGGGCAGCCGGTCCAAATGCCCTAGAAATGCGGACCCAAGTGTGAGAGTCGTGAGAGTGCGCCCCGACCGAAACCACCGAGGTGCGTCAAAACGTCTCAAAACTGCCCGTGTTTTTGGACCATGAAGGGTGGGAACCATGGGAAACAGGGTCGACCATTCAGGGGCCTCCCAGCATCCAAGGCTTTTCAAAAAGTCTTCCAATCTGCACACTTGATCGCAGGGCCAGTTTGCCCAAATGATGTCCAATCTCCGACACGTACGCCCGCCCTGGACTGGGCTGAGACACCCAAAGCAGCCTGTGCATCGAATCTTTATCTCCGATCAGAGGAGTTTTCTCCTCGGACAGGTGGCGTTTGGTCCCACCATATCATGAGAAAGCACCAGTTGGCCGGGTACAGGCTGTAAAAAATAACGAGCACCGGCTGGCACAGATTCAATCAAAGGGGATGGTGACAAAGGTTTGGGGTCAAAACCCCCATGCATTTTTGAAGGGGATCAATCAACCGACAAAATAGGAAGGTAGGCAGGCAGGCAAGCAGTCAGGTAGATACAGTCCGGTACCTTTCCAGTCGTTGATAGTTGCCATCTCACCAACCCGATCCTACAGCACATCAAACAGAATGACCTCAGCAACCCCACAATATCCAACAACCGTGATCTATTTTATTTATGCCCTCCGAAGGTTTATGTGCTAATTGTTTCTTCGATTCTAAAAAGACTTGGTTGGCATCTTCTTCAGGACCCTTCTGTCCGACAACCCATGTGTCATGCTGCTCTACGATCAAGTTTGTCGACAGTTCGAGGCTTCGGATGTCTGCGGAAAGAGATGCCAGCCAGGGGTACCCAGGTTCGGTCAGCAATCGCAACCATCTCACAGGCAGAGCCTGTTGCGTGCCAGAGAAAGAAACAATGACAACTAAATCGTTTTCAGCGCGCCCTAGAAACCTAGAGAATCTTCGCCCTTCAGCTAAGTCACATGGAAGTGGAAATTACTTCACTTCGAGTGGTCCGCACGATAAAATCTTAATCTGACAAATTTTTGGCATGTCTTGAAACATTATTTTGGCAATCTTTCTGGCATATCTTCTGACCTTCTTTCTGACATTCTTTCTGACATATCTTCTGCGTATCTTCTGACATTCTTTCTGGTGTTCTATCTGGTATATCTTCTGACTGGCGGTTGAGGTCCGGCAGGGAACACTGCCCTGGCGGTTGAGGTGCGGCGGGGAACACTGCCGTCCGGAACTGGCTGTTGAGGTAGCGGGGTACACTGCCGTCCAGAGCTGGCGGTTGAGGTCTTTCTGACATTCTTTCTGGCATATCTTCTGACATTCTTTGTGGCATATCTTCTGACACTCTTTCTGACATTCTTTCTATCTTTCCGGCGTTCTATCTGGCATATCTTCTGACTCGCGGCTGAGGTCCGGCGGGAAACACTGCCGTCCGGAACTGGCGGTTGAGGTCTGGTGGGGAACACTGCCCACCGAAGCTCGCGGTTGAGGTCCGGCAGGAACACTGCAGTCCTACACTTGCGGTTGAGGAGGCCGAGGATGAGGAGGAGAGGAGAGGAGAGGAGAGGAGAGGAGAGGAGAGGAGAGGACAGGCGAGGAGGAGAGAGGAGAACAGCGAGGTAGCTAACATAAAATCTAACAACCCTCACCTGACAGGTGGGGAAATACACCTGTTGAAAAGAGGATGTTCCACCAAACCAGTGAGACCAATCTCATCACATGATGTGCTGGCCTAGTCCCAGTTTGAACCTTAGGTGACATTGGGTGCATCTGAGAAATGTTGACCTTGAACCATCATCTGGTTGGTGGTTTCAACTTACTTGAAAAATATTCGTCGGTGGGTTCACTCATCCCAAGTAAAGCTTGAACATATCTGAAACCACCGTGCGCTTCGAGCAAGGTCAGACCTCATCAGACCTCTGCCTGAACACGCAACAAAACCATAAACCATGATGGGAGATTCCAGCCTTGTGGGTTGGGTGGAACAAAGATCATTGGATGTAACCGAATCTACCGTTTACTCCCAGTTTCCGAACCCCCCCCCAAAAAAAAAATCATGACACCAACTGAGAAGACAATGAAAAGTCCTTCTTTCCAGCCTGAAACGTCTCACTGCTCTTGCTCCGCACTGGTCGAAGTCTTACCTTGGAAACCGGGCAGGCCGGAGTCCCAGGACATCTGGCCACCAAGGCATCAGGCGTTCCGAGTCATTTTGGGGGACCGCCCAACACCCAAATCCGCTCCAAATCGCGTGAGGTCGTCAGAACTTCGGGTTCTGACGGCGAGAGACGGCATGTGTTTTTTCGATCTTGTGGGTCGGTGTGGGTCGGAGACTGGGTGTTTTGAGGGGCCTTTTTGAATAAGACTTCAATGGCAACCACTCGAGGAAGACGTGAGCCTCCAAAACTCCAACTTGTCGAGCGAACTTCTGAGCTTCTTTCTTCAAGGCTCGGTCAAGTTGGTCATGTCCTGAACTGAGTAGGGTCCGTTGGTCTATCCAAATGCAGCAAACCAAACCACAAGAAGGTGTCCTATATGCCCTTCCATGACCTACCCTACCGATGTGACGTATTTGTATTCTTTGCTTCGGTGGACCCTCCAAAAAAGCTCCCAAAAAAACGTCTTCCCAAACGCATCCAACGCGTTTGAGCCCGGTGCGGTGCCCGCGATAAAACCCTTTGTCCCAGGCACTTGGCCTGCTCCAGGACACGCATGGCCTCGTCCACCTGGAACCGACCAACACCGTCACCGAGACGTCACGTCACCGGGTTTGGGGGCCGGGAGCGGCGGGATCGACCTGGCCTTCGCCTTGAGTTGGTGCTCGCTGTCCAGGAGGATCAAAAGCTCGGAATTGTCCATCTCCAGCATCATGCCTGGGAAGCACGAGTGGGAGGGGTGATTTCACCACACCGGTGGCGCAGACAGAGTCTGGAGGCGGCACTGGCCTCGACCACGCCCTACCACGCCGTGTCTGTTGGGCCAAGTTGAAGCTCCCCTTCGTTCGGGGCGGGTTCACCCATCACTGGTTGGGAGACCGTTCGGTCCAAAGTCGTCGAGTTTAAAGGTCAGACTTGGGATGCCCAGCCCATATCCACCTGACGGTCTCCGAAATGGAGGGTTGGGAAGGGCCCTTAGAGGTTTCAATTGGTGACCTGTGAAGTCAGTGCTGGTAGGTAATTCCCAATCCACTCGCCAGCCCCAATCACCAAACTGGTCCGGTTCACAGACGATTGGGAGGCTCTCCCCCTTCTTTGAGCGAATTTGAGGAGGTTTTCCCTCCATCCTCTCCCCGAAACGAATACGAGGGAATACGGTAGCCTAGCGTCAAGCGCCAGCTTGGACATCATGAGGCTGCAGCAGTTCTTCTCAAAACTGAGTTTGGGTTTGGCCACTCCAATCCTTGCCAGTCTCTGTTCCCCTTCAGCTCTCTAGCCGTTCTCAAACCGGCCTGTCAAGATTTCCCACAGGCTTCCAACATGGTCCAACCGTCCACCCCGCGCTGTGATTGGAGATCGTCGCCTGTGATCTTGCCAGCCAGCTCCGGTTGGTGCTTGGAGATCGCCGGGAAGAGCCGCTCGCCGATCATCTGCTTCTGCACCTCTTGCTTCGAAGAGATGCAACGGTTTGGTTCCACCTGTTTGGAGTGCTTGATCATCGCTTCAGGTCGCTTCATGAAGGGTCTGTCTCATGGAAGAGTCTCAGGTTTGTCTTGGAAGGTCCGTCACCGGTCAACTGCCGGTCTCTGAAACCATGAAGGCTCCGTCTACACCGGTCAACTGCCGATCACCGGTTCCAGCAGGGGTGCGAGTCAGATCTGCCCATCCCTGACTAAACCAGTCCCAACCAAGGCCATTGTCTATATACAAAAACGGCCCAAACCCAGGAGTTGTTTTTTGGTCAAATTCGGTCCATCGAATGGAAAAAAGACAATTCGACACGCCAATGTCCAAGCGATGCTTGGGGTTCCATGAAGGCAAACACCCACGAAGCACCGCAACTCCAGGGCCTCCAGGGCCCCCAGGCCTCCAGGGCCCAGGGTGTTATAAAGACAACTCAAATTTCCTCAGGCCCGAGGGGCCGGTGGAGGGGCTGCTGCCAAGGCGGCCGCAGTGAGCTGTTGGCCTGGAGCAGTGGGTTGTTTCACCCAAATGAGGGTTGCGCCATTCAGCAAGAGGATCCCAGGATCCAAACATCCTATGTTTTGAAGGGTTGCCTGTTTGGGGGACGAAACATCCTGAGAAAGAAGGTGGGATTGAACAGTTCTGTCTTTATGACACTTGAACGAATGTATGGTGCCAAAAACAAAGGCTTCTGGAGTTGAAGGACTGCAAGCAGTCTGCCCATCCCCCTTGAGGGAGGGATGTTGATCTTTCGCGAGTACTGGCCACTCTGTGGCGATGTTTGCGATCGACTACTGTTTGGCGGCTTTGGTGTTGATATCTGCCAACACATCTGACTTCATCTGACTTCATCATACTGAAACATCCTGAAACCCTTGAAAAGAACAAGACATGTTTCTCGATCTACTCGACACCGCCACGCCTCCGCCCGAGTTGCCGGCAGGCGGAGTCTGAGCAGCGGGGCCCTGGCTGGGCATGCCTGCCGCAGCGCGTCTCGCCGGGATATGGCAAGTGCGTTCGGCGAAAAACATGTCTCTAAGCAGTAAGGAGAGATGACAGTAAGAGATTCAAATCTCAGTAGGTTGTACAGGAACGAAGAGTGTCAAAGAGTATCACAGAAGAAATCCTCCCTGTTCAAAAGACCTGCTTGATTTCCCCATGCAAAATCCACGCCCGGCTCGCCCTCCGGTCGAAACCGGTGGTCCAAACCCTCCAGCACGGGAAGTCTGCCCAAGGCACAGAACCCGCCGGTGAGGAGAAGGAAACAAAAACACCACCACCACCAGCAGCAGCACTCTAGAGCTCCCAAAAAATAGTTCTTGCCAACAAATCAGTAAACATCCAAACAACCACCAGCATCCGTCTCCTGGGCGCATCATCGGCATCTGCGGCATCGGGGGCCGCATCATGCCCATTGGTCCCATAGGTCCCATCGCACCCATCGGTCCCTGGCGGTCGCGCCCCCCGCGGTGGAGCGGCGAACGTTGAACAGCGGATGGAGGATGGAGGCCCCCTCACCCTTCCCCTTCCTTGCGACGGCGTCAGTCGCCACGTGTTTTTGGGTTAACAGGTGTGACAAGTACGCTCTGGTGTGTAGCCAGTTGTTCGTTACCAGTGCGAGGGGATTCCCAGCGTGAGGGTGACCATGGCCTTGCTTGCGAGAGCCAAAACTAAAAGCAAAGCTCCTGATCGGCTACTTTGGTTCATGGACTCATCTGGTTGCCTGGTTGCCATGTCTGCAGTTTGTTGGAGTGTTGGTCAAAACCCCCTGCTGGTTGCGTTTCTGACCCAAATGAACAAAGCAAGGCTTCCTCTGGCTCTCTTCAGAGCCGCTCGCAGGGCAGCTGTCTCGGGTCAGTGAGACACGGTCCCTCAAGACTGGCCGGGCATGGCCATTGGCATAGGCATCTGCATACCGCCCTTGCCCATGGCACCACCCCTCAGTTTGGGAACAAAAATGCATGAATGGAGGAGGAGGAGGAGGAAGTTACACTCCCTGGAATCATCCTGGTTGCGTGGATGGCATGGCCCACAAAATGGATGACCATGTTCAATCAATCCATCCGAAGCCCCTTTTTCCAGGTGGGTTTCACTCGCTCCATCGAACGAAGTAAGGTGTGTATATTTACATCAGGAGACGCTCAACCATTCGGTTTGGGTCTATTTTCCTTCTTTGAGGTGCTCGAACTGGAAGACCTTCCAAACACACACGCCACACACACGTCGTTTTTCGCGCGGCGCCACGTCGAAGAGAAGCACCATGGCGCCGAGTCTTGGGCCCCGTTAGCCGAGTCTTGGCCTCAAAAAGAAGCCTCGATGCCTTGCTTAACCCACTTACAGGGTATGATTCACTTTGGGGATAAGTCAAAACCTGGAATTCCGGTCCACCTGTTTCGCGTGTCCGAAAAAAAGATTGGCCCCCGGTGGTGTTTGGGGGAGACTGCTTTCCGGTCAGTCTGCTTAGTGCCAAGTGACATGTTCATGTTGGGCATACCTTTGCCCATCGCGCCCATGCCTCGATCTCGATGTGGACGGCGGGTTCAAAAGAATCGTCGTGGATGGGGTTTTGGAATGTCGCAGGAGAGCACCACCCATCAAGGGGAGCTTCATCAGCTGTTAGCTGAAGGGCAAAAGGGTCTCCAGAGTTAACTGCGCGAAGATGGTCATGTCATGTCATATCTCGTGTTTGGGCTTGTCAAAGAGTCATCCATAGTCAATCTACTCGGGGAAGAGAGTGTTGAAGGAAGAAATCTCAAGCCAACTGAGATGGAAAATACTACGCGACGTGCAGTGCAAACACTGCGTGGCGGTGGAATCCAGACGTGACGGACGTGTTTGCTGCGTGGTGTGACGATTCCGTCAGCGGATTCCGCAGAGGTCCTCCAGTTTGGACGTCATCAAGCGTAAACAGTTCGGCAGTGGGCAATGGATGTTCCATGCAAAAGGCACGTTAGATGAGTGGAACTAAACCCTGTGAGAACGTATATAATTATATGTATATTGCATTCTATTGCAAGCTATGTTCTACCTTCTAGAGAAGTGGTACATACAGGCATCTCGGGATATGAATCGAATTTGCAGAAGGGCACAGTTGCTACTGGCAAGATCCAATCCTCACTAAGAACATGCAGCCTCTCAGTGTTTGATCAAATATCCCGGTGATCTGTCCTGTCAAAATGCTTGTAGGGCCATATCCTAAACAAACAGGAAGAGCCTTCAAAAAGTGATCTGTCTTTCTATACCTTCCACATCTCTGGCTTTTGTGATACCAAGCTGATCCAATACCGTACCTATTGGTTGTTCACTTGGAGGTCTCTACATCAACCAACCAATAGCAAAAGGCCATAGTAATGGCTACATTCACACGGTGTTACACTCCAACGAACACATCACATGGAAATGGATGGCATGGCTGGGAAGACCATGAAATCCGAATTCCAAACAGGTGGAGAACTTCCACTTCCATGCAACGTGAGTGAGAGAGCCCTCGTTCGCGAACGAAGGGCCAGAACCAGGCGGACCAGTCCGAACAGAAGGGTCACAGCACTCCGGCGCCAGACGTGGAAGTGGATGGCGCCGGACGTCCGACTCCCTAGAACTCACATGATGGAAGTGGATGCCGTGGCCCTTGAATAGGAAGACCTTTTTCCGACTAGCAAACAGTAATTGCCATTTGGTTCCAGGGAGAGTCAGATCATCATGCTTTCGTGGAGTGAAGAATCACCAGGAAATTCTTCGGATGGATTTCATAGTCATCCATTTGTGGCCATCCACTTCCACCAGGATGATTCCAGCGAGTCGAGTCTGCATGTTTCGACTTTACGGCGTGCTCGCAGTCCACCTGTGGTGCGGAATGGGACAGCGTTCCAACCTGTGTTTTAACTCCTGTTATCCCCACATGGTCAGAACACCCAAACACCAATAGCACCATCTCCCCAGCTCCTCTCCGCTGAGTCTAGAGCCCATCATCTGAGGATTCATCGGCATGTTGGGCATGCCACCCTTGCCCTTCTGGCCGCCCATCCTAGGACGCACGGAGAGACCGATCTCTTTCTCCCCCGGAGATGACCCATCGGTTTCGGCTGCTAATGGCATCCATCCTCAATATGAGACAGCCTCCATCAGCTCGAATGAAACTGGATGGCTCCAGGCAACAGTGCCTGGAGTCCAGCTCGACTTTTGGTTGGACCGACTGAAGTAAAGGAAATGCCTCGGGTCACCTAAAGACCATTCCTTTATAGTCTTTGACTCCCAGGGCAGGTGGATATCAAAACATGTCAAGCGGCAAGGTAGCTGTGTTCCTGTGCAGCACAGGATGGCCGATGGCAACTTCAAAAACTCGAAACAAAGCTTTCCGAAGGGTCCTAGCAAAATGAGTAATTCTCCCTGGAACTTCTCCCTGGTTGCGAGGATGGCATGGCCTACAAATACCATTAATAAAAAATCCATCCGAAGACCAATTCCAGGTGGTTTTCACCCACGAAACACATGATGATCTCAGGGAGCGTAGGTCCGAACCATTCACCAGTCAGTGAACATCTGAAGTCAACTCTTCCAATGATCTACTAGAAGGAAGGCGGGTCTCGGACCCCCCAAGGCGGCTCACGCTGGCCGCTGGATTTGGGGGTTTTGTTCGATCTCACCGTTCAAAGTAGAGGATAGCGACTTGACTTACAGTAATGGCCCACTCACATGGTCAAACCCAAGGGTGAGGTCCTCGAGCCTCGGGTCCCGGCCCGGAACGACGACCGATCGCACGGAAGGCATCGGCACGGCTTTGCGGGCGGAAAAGGAAGCTAGTGACTCTTGGAGCCTCCAGGTTTTGACCCATCCCTAAGGTAGACTCTTGATTCATGAACCCCTCCATATGAAGAGATGTTTGCAGTTCATCTGGGGGAGGGTGATTCATCTGGGGGAGTCTACATGAATTCAAAGAAACACCTCCTTTCAGAGGGCTCAAAACCATCGAATGGCCGAAACGTTCACGCCACGGAAACACCGGTTTCCAAAACCGGTACGTTTCTTGAGGAAAAGAGTCTTCCCATTTGGAGCCGTTGTCGACTTCTGAGTGAGTGAGTGAGTGAGTGAGTGAGTGAGTGAGTGAGTCCGGTCTTGCAACCACTAGTGCCACCACTAGCGCCACTGTTCAAAAACACGATGGAAGGGAGACTTGAAGAGAGACATCTTTGCCGAAGATGCAGATCGTGTTCACCCTTTTTGAGGAGGATGTGATGTTTTTCAGCCTTTGGCAACTTGTTTGTAGACCGGACTTCCGGTGTCCGAGTGGTACGCTTGGTAAGTCGGACTTCTGGTGAAGAGAAACCCCCTCTTAAAGAAAGAACTGTGTGTTGGTCATCTCAAAGATCATCTCAGATTTCTCCAAACCAACGGCCGCATCCATCTCCGAGCCACATCATGCCAGCGTTCTGGCCCTGCATCATGCCCTTGCCCATGCCACCCATGCCCATCATGGGCGGGTTGCAGCCACCCATGCCGCCTACGCGCCCAGTCGTCGAGCAACGGAGCTTAACCAGTGCAGTCGTGGTGAAAAATGTGAATCCTCGAATGAGACAAGTTGGTATACCTTCTCCTGGTGTGAAAAGTGTGCGTTCATTGTTTATAGGATTCACCTGGTGTGAAACCGAGGGAACTCGAAAGTGGTGGTGGGCTAGCTGAGCTAGTGATGGTGTGGGGTGTCAGTGAGCTTGTTCGTTTTGAAAGGGCAATGAGTATCATCAATATTGCTTGGTGAGCCTGGTATTTGGAAGGTTCACTCCTTTACAGTGGTAGTTAGATTGACAGCCAGCTACAGACCCCAAGTGTCATCATGTCCCGCAGCGCCAGACAAACCAACACAGAAGCATTCTCCCAGCACCACCCCTTTGGGTGCTTTTGACCCCCTTGACCCCCTTCACTATCTATTTGCCATCTAATCACCACCCTTTGGGTGGTCCACCGCACCACTGCGAACTGAGGGTCCGGACCTCCCATGCCTCCCATGGGGTTGCCGTACATCTGGTTGCCCATGCCACCCTTGCCCTTGCCCTTGCCCTTGCCCACACCGCTGGGGGAGTAGCGCTGGCCTCGAGTGAAACACGAGAATATATAAGAGAACGTATGGAACCGGCGCAGGCGCAGGCACATGGAAAGCGGATGGGATACTTAGGGAAGATTCAAGATACTCGGAAAAAAACCAAGTGCTCCTGTCCATGCTCTTCTTCCAGCACAGGTATGTGCGAACGTTCAATCCTTTTTTACACCTGAGCTGGTTGAATTGCCATACCCACATCGACAGAAAGTCTCTAATCGCTTTCGGGCACTCGGATTGAAAAATAGATCCTTAATGAAATTACGCTTTCTTCGTTGCGGGTGTAATTCATTGCTATTATGTGTTTCACGCGTAGTTTTGAGATTCACCTCGCTACAGTGGGCTCCTCCCCTGGGTCAGCCTCCCAGTTGCAACTGTGAGCGCACCCCAACCCATGGCAGGCTCTCTGCTAAAACCGGAAAAAAAAAACACAGGGCTCTCACTGGAGCACCACATGGTCAAACAGGCACGCCCGACACGCGGACCACCGCCCAAACTCCCGGGGCGTCACGGAGGCCCCGCCCCGCCCGGGACCCGTGGAACCACGCCCACGAGCAGTCGGTGAAGGAAGGTCCGCGAAGAGAACCCGGCAGCGAAAACCTTCCGATTACAGCTTTCACACACTTTCATGCTATATTACTGTATATATATATATATATTACTATATTACTATATTGGGTCTATTACCAGTCACAGTGGATGATGATGAGGCCTGGTCGCAGGCCTTTCTCCAAAAGAGTGATGCTCTTGCTTGGAAACCACGGTGGCAGGTCAGTTCGGACGGACCCAAACTATATAAACCTTCTCACGTTCAGGTGCTCCGCCCAGCTTCAACCACTCCAAGCCACGCAGGCGCTCCGCACGAACTTCGCGCTTCTCAGCCAGGCCCACATAGAGCGGCTTTCCCTTGACCACCTTTTGGAGTCCAGAGAGGAGCATCATCTACCATGATTGAGGGTAGTGACTGAGCCAGGTGGTCTTGGGGCACCAATCTGATCAAATCTGAAATATAAACCTCACACCCTGACGTGCTTTTGTCATCTCGAGGTAACTGAATCACCTCTGTTGCGGAGGCGATCACTTTTTGTCAATGTTTAGGGTTTTATTCATGAACCGTCTACATTTAGAGCTGTCATGAGCTCTCCAACTACTCCGCTGCTCCGTCTCCCGCAACCGAACACATGGTCCGGCGCCTTGAGATGCATCTCGGTGACCGCCTTGGTGGCCTCATCTGGGCTGCTGAAGCAGACGAAGCCAAAGCCCTGCCGAGTGCGAGCTCATGCTGCGAGCGAGAACTGCCAGGAGGAGCTCGGAGGAAGGTGCACGGCAGTATACTGGTAAACGATAATCCATGGGACGCAACTTCGGAAGGGAGGAATGGGGGGAGCAAGCTTGGTCAGATCTCCAGCTTTTCCAGGTCACACCCAAAGTCACCATACTCATCGTCCAGGTTCTTTCCAGTCCCAAAATCCACCGAACTGTCCGGAGAAACTCGTAGGAGAAGAGATGGTCTAGGATTCCAACAAACCATTGCTTTGATGGTCTAAATCCCAAAGAACCCTTGTTTTTGACCGAAGGATTTGACATGACCAAACCAGGTCGACCCATGTCTTTTCATGGTCGACCGTGTCAGGCGAAACCGGGTGACCCGAAAGGGACCCGAGGTTTCGGACACCGGCGAGGTGACATGCTCTTTCTAGAATGAGCTTTTGGCCACATTCAAAGCGAGTCACTTCGCGGGTTGTATGACGCCCTCTACACACCCAATGGAGTTGTCTTGAGTCAAGCTGGTGGGAACAGTCACATAGCTGGAGTTCGAACCGAACTTCGTGCTTGATGTGGTGGTTATACATCTAATCGACCGTCTATACGACCCCCTGCAACGCGAAGTGATCGGCCGCCGCACCTTGCACTTGCCATTCAGCTCCTGGGCAAGGCGAGTCGGATGAAGCCCAGTGGGAAAGACCTCACCGCAAGGCGGCGAATGGGTTTGAAGCCCTTTTTGGCCCTTGTTCCTCGGCATCGGAATCGTCTTTTTTCAGGTGAAAAATGGATCCTTTGACATGATGGGGAGGCCAAGTGAAGTCGATGTTCGTCGATCAATCCGCCTGTTCGCCAACATCCTCAAGATTCATCGATTGGAGTAGCTGAATCCTCAAGTAGCGCAGGTGTATATAACTCATCAGAGTTTTGCGAAGCTGCCAGAGGAATGTCTCGCAAATGCGACAAATTTGGTCGACCGCAACCATTCTTAGAAGGTGCCAGCATTGAACCACTGGCAGTTTTGGCTGGCGTGGGCGAAGAAGAATCATGAAAATAACAGGACCAGCAACACATTCACAACCGTTTGGATTGCAAAACCAATTCATTTGGGGATGTCATATTCATCAACCGTCCACATGAATGGTGGGTTCCACCCCCGACTCATCAGTGACCATCTCAGTCATGGCCAGTCCTCGTTCCGAGCCACACCTCGTCCTTTTGTTTCGACCTGAACCACAGCTCTTTCCGTCCCGACGACCCGCAGAGGACCCGTCCTTCATGGCACAGACCGAGGTGATGTTTCCGAAGGACTCAAAGAGCCCGCGCAAGGAGTCGTCGTCCGTCTGTTCGTCCTTGCGAGCGCGAAGGCCCTTCGCCCGAGGTCCGGAAAGTGAGATGGATGGCGCACCAGAAGTCAATGCCCCTCAAACGTCCAAAAGCCTAAATGAGGCCTACGAACTGCTGGGAAAGCAGATAACAATAGGTGGTTGAGTGAGTTCCGTGCTCAGAAGTCGGCCAGGGTTACTTTGGGACTGGATTTGCCTGTCCCAACTGAGCTTTTCAGTTGGATTCAGTCTTCGTAGCTTTAGAATCCTGTCCTGACCCATCGTCCATGAAAATCAGTATGTTTCGATCCATGTTCTAGTTCTAGCTACCGATGAAGTCTGAATGAAGTGATCCACTACTCTGGATCAACTGACCATGTCTTCTGCACACCCAATGGTTCATCGACCTCTTGTCATGGACTCTTGCAGCAACAAACATCCTCATAGTGAGCATTCACGCATGAAATGCGTTTCGCAGGCAGACTAACACGACTCAAAGTCAAGTCCAAATTCTAATGGGTCGAACTACACCCGGGCGCAGCACAAGGCCGCAGCTGGGCATGCACCGTTTGGACTGGTTCCAAAAGCACTTTTTTTAATGATACGGCGACCACCGAGATCTACACTGGACAGCTTGAGGTCTTTGCTTTTCGCTCAAAAGCTAGATGCACGTGCTACAATACTGGTCCTGGAACAGAGGCCTCAGACAACCTTAAGGCACACTCCTCTACTTCATGTGTGAGAAAATGGCCTTGTCTCAATCAGCTCTGGACCTCCTTTGTCATCTTTGTCTAAGACCGAGTCCCGACCCCACAAACGCCAGGGTTCTGGGGTGTCCGGGTCAAAAAACGACAGATCCATGTCCCAAACCTCTGCTGTGCTGTAGCTCCTTTCCAAAACCCGTACACCAGCCATCCGGCGCAATCCGGCGTTCATGGCCAGGGTGCCAGGTTCTTGATGTACAGGTTCACTCCCTGACTTCGGCCCGCTGGCTCTCTGGCCGGCATCTTCTCCTGAGCAGGTCCCAGTGACCAGGCACCAGTCACAAGGGGGTTCCGGTGACACAAAAAAGGGAGCACACTGTAGGCTCTGGTTCTTTCAAAAAGCAAGAAGCACAAGTAATGTGCTCAGGTATCCCTTCGGGATCACCCTGAAACCTGGTGTTTTCTTCGACCACCCGTTCACTTTCCAGCCCATCCCAGCCTTCAGCTCCAACATGCGTTCGGACTTGCTTTGCGCGCGGGCCACGTACAAGAGGCAACCTGATTTTGTCGTGGCTCAGAAGAAATGGTTTGGCTGGCTCGCCGTTTTAGGGGTATCTAACAAAATTCGACCAGAAGTGGAGTTCAACCCTGTCTTCAATTGATAGCAGTCTCAGCACCTCTTGGGTGGTTCCGAACTACAAAGAGAATCCACTTCCAGGACACGGCAGGTACCCGGAAAATGGAGCCCCGCCTCGCAAGGCGTCCTCTCTTCCACCTCCCCTCCTGCTCTTCTTTACAAGTGAGACCCAAGCGAGACCCTCTTTCATCCACGCAAGCCTGGTGAATTACACAGGCATAGACCCCAAATGGCGGATGTATAGGGAAAAAGGTCATAGTGCCTGAGGGGAAAAAGTCTAATGGCTTTCGTTGTGTGCCAAGGGCATTGTTCACCTATGGCGCCTGACACGTTGATGCATGTATTGCCTTGTGGTATGCATCGTTTCCCTTTGTGGTGACATAGTGTCATGCAAGGGGCAACATCGTGTCATGCCAGGGATGAAATTATGTCATCCGTGGGATGACACGTGACGCCAGAGATGGGAAAGGAACCTGCACCAGCATGCCCGCACAAAACGCCGATCCAGCACCAGCACCGGCACCAGCACGGGCAAAACGAAACGCCGATCCGGATTGAGAAGTAAGAACCCCTATAGCTTGCAGCTATCTGGGGAAAAAGATGTGTCACCCGCCGCTCGGCCGGTGTGGAGACTGCAGAATCTGCAGAAATCCCCTTTTCCATGAAAAAGCCATCCAATCAAGTCCTGGGGATGAGCCCAAGTGGCTCTTGTCAGCCCGGTCTAGTGGCTCTTGCCAGCCCAAGTGGCTCTTGTCAGCCCGATCTTTCTCCTCTTCCTCTTTCTCCTAGGGGTTTAGCTGCCCGGTCAGTCGGTCTCTGTCTTCGGGGCTTGGTTGGTTGCACTTGGAAGGCCAACTTGAAGCACGGGACACACTTACGCTCCCTGGAACTCACATGGAAGTCACGGCTTCGTGGATGGCCCCGAAAGGAAGACCCTTCTTGCGAAGGACCAGGACCGAGGGGGTGCCATCTACGAAACCATGTTAGTTCCAAGGAGAGTACTTACTAGGTACCTGGTTCTACATCAACCAATTTCGGTTTCATCTACAGGACTCCATACAGATGGGACTGTAGCCAGCGGGTTTTCCAGCGGGTCTTGAGAGGCAGCGAACCCCGGACAACTGGTCTCGGTTCGAAAGCTTGGTCTCCTCATACCCCAGACACGACCCGTCTGGGACTGCCATAGGACTGCCGCCCCATTCACCCCCAGTCAACCACCCCAACTGATCGGCAGCCCTACCAGGAACCTTTAAAAAGATCTTCCCACACATCCTCTCGAGGTACAGCACACGTCAAGACCCTCGCAGTCCTTGTCGGCCTCCTTTTGCTCGTCCGAGCGGAAGTCCTTCTGATGCATCTCTTCGATGGCCTGGCGTTCGCCAACGATGCCACACCCCGAGTTCCAGCGTTTTGGGGTGTCTTTTGAAAAGAAAAAATTGCAGAGTACGGCCGATGACCGCAGAAACATCAGAAGCCGTTTCCCAGGCAGGAGTCCCCGATCCTCGGTCTCACACCGATGACCCGATTCCCAAAACAACACCTGTATAGCTCTCTCCTCCCAACGCCTGAGCCCCCTTTCAACACCGAAGCGTCACTGGAAAACCTTCGGAAAAACCCACCGCCCCCCAAAAACTTCGTGGTGCCCAACTCCCTGGCAAAAGCTTCGGGCGTCCGGGACCGCGGCGTCTCACCGGGACCTTCTTGGCTTCCTCGTGGGTCTCGAAGTTCAAGAAGGCGAACTTGCGGCCCTGATGGTTTCAAAGAGGTGCAAGTTCGAGGGCTTGGAGATCTTTGGATTGAATTTGTAGATGTGTTCTCTGTTTCTGGGATGAAGGACTTCCTCAAGAGCCAAGGACCTTCGCTCGTTACCACTTCGGCATCGGTTCCATCCGCTTTCAGCTGGTTTTTCGGGTCGGTGAGGGGAGCCCTTCCGTGGCGGCACGGTTTGGATCGGCGAAGTGGGTGATCGGCGAAGTGGGTGATCGGGTGATCGCATGCGTGGAGCCCAACATGAAGGGCCAAGTACGTAGATCGTACAGAATCACACAACATACTGTATCCAATTCACTTATGTGCACCCCAAAATATGGTGGGTACTAGCAAGGTGGGATCTTTCTTGGGCCCAGATTTCTGCATGAGGAAGATGAGATAGGAAAGCCAGAGTTAAAAACAGAAAATGTCAAATGAGATAGTTGTGGGGTTCGTGCCGCAGGAGTGTGCCAAAGTCCCATGACATGTCCCCAAACGGTCATTTTGCCATCACTTTCCCTATGTTTCTGCAAAAAGAAGGAATGGAGAAATGACCTGTGGGCTTGGAACCCTTCCTAGGCCCTTAGCTTGACTCTTTCATCAATGGGTTCAGAACATCTGACATGACCACTTCAATTCTGCTGCACATTTCTTTGCCAACGGTCACCCATTGCGCATCCCATATCTCATATTGTCCCCACTGTGGCACAGTTCCCAAAGCCGAAAGTCTCACCGGACATGCAAAAGAATCTTGCATTCTGGCAGTGCCAGGACACATGAGACAGGTTTACAGCCGTTGTCTTTTTGAGTATGCTGTTGACACATGAGATATGCAAATCAAATCCAGTGTGTACGTTGCACTATTCACATCACATCTGCAGCTAGTATATCTTTTACACTGCTTCCGAAAAACTCCAACAAACCACGTTTTGCAATGCTTTCACAAAACACGCCGTCTCGCCGCCTTTCTGCCACCCCCCAACCACGGTGCGAAGCGTGCTTCAGCGTGCTTCAGGGCGTGAAGAAACGTGAACCGCGCCACGCGGCAAAACGCGCGACACGCCCGAGCGAAGAGAGGCGCCTTGTTGTCAGAAGAGAAGTGAGACGAAGTGATCTGAGGCGCCGGTTCACGACGCACGACGCGGCAGACTAAAGCTGTTCTTCGGCAGACCGGAAGACTTGAGCTGTTCTCGGTGTGTGCGACCAAACCTGAGAGGTCCCGGATCCATGACTCACCAATGACCCTGGTGAGTGGTGGATGATGAGCAAGTAAAAGTTACGGAAGTTCGAGGTGAATGTAGACTGTTGATGAACCGAACCTCATTCACCCTCCCAGCCCGAAGAGGTTTGTAGAATCCCTAGCCATCCGTGGAACCTCCTACTGTATCAAAGGGTGACCCAAAGCCAAACTTGTCGAACTTGCAGACTCCAACAACCTGACTGGCTCAAAGAGGGTCCATGACTCTTGGAGCAGGACCCTCCAACAAGTCTGTAGAGGCGTTGGAAGTCTCTGGAGGCGTTGCATCATGTTGCAATGACTTCTTCAAGGTTGCATGGGAAGGCCCGCAACACTACACTACCCAAGCACGCATAAAAATAACGTTAACCCTGCAAAAATAATAGAAATGGGAGTGAAAGAATGGATGGATGTGACGCAAAAATGCAGATAAGGAGTCTTGTGCACTGGCTGCAATAGACAACGATAAACCTCAAAGTTCCTTGGTCTCACCACCCTCCAAATCTTCTTGGTTCCAGTTGATTCCTCAACTGTTTCTGAAGCCACTTTGCCCCATGTTTGGCCATCAACCCAGTTCGTGTACCTCGATGACTTTCTACAGGGCGGATGAGGAGCACTTCTCCGTGGTGCGTGGGCGTCCATCCGGCCTTGCCGCATTTGCCGAACTCCGTTTTGATGGAATCCTCATCCCAATCAGTAGGGAAGTTCTTGATGTACACCTCAGCAGCGAACTTGTGTGAGTTTTCCCGTCTAAGTTGGTGAATCGAAGACTGTAGGAACTGACTGGACCGCGTAGAAAAGAACGAGTCACGAGTCGACTCCTCTTCCTCTGTAGGTGACTGGAGCAGGATTTTTGGGCTGAAACCACATCCTCGGAAAGTAGTTAATCCCTCCAAACGCACCCCACTTAGGGAGGACGATGATGAGGATGAGGAGGAGGAGGAGGATGGATGATAGTTGATGGATGATTGATGATGATTGATGATGATGATGATGATGATGATGATGATGATGATGATGATGATG